TCAAAATGTGTCTTCGGAAGAATAGATAAAGCAGACTATCCAGAAGTTAGAATAACCCACATGGGCCTGACATGATTTTAGATATTACAGCTTCATAATAAACAATCTTAGGTTCACTTTTGTTTCTGATCCTTATGGACGACCGATTACATAAAGTTAGCTTGGTTGAATTGATCTGTGGAAATGACACATAGATCCGGAGATTTATAAAAAGCGAAAAGGGTTCATTTGAGCTTTAAAACAACTTAAAAATTCCACTATGTATTAGCTGCCACTGTTGAGGATGCTGTGACTGACCTTACAACAATAAAAGAGTGAGCAACAAACACTGGGTTGAAAATTGACCCATAGAAATGTCAGACCACAAACATTCTGGCCTATTCGAAACAAAGAACTTGTATACACCATGGAAATCCGACCCCGATTGTCTCCTCAGAGTGTGACCACGGGCCAGTAACCACAGAGAACTTGGACACAAGTTAAATCTATGCAGAGGATGAAGGCAATGTAAACGTGACTCTTCGCTTTGACTGAAGACAACTCGACACAGTCATCCCAGAGTTGTTCTTAACCCTCTTCAAAACATACGGCTCTACCTTGAAGTCCACAATTTTTTTGCACCTTTCCTTCTTCAAGAGACATTAATTTCTTTGACCGAATATAGAGACAGGGAACTAAATGGGTGGCCGGTCTAAAACAAATCTTACGAAGACCGACTCCAACACCTGGGATTATTTTCGTTGAGCTATAGGAGAATAAGTAGCCATTTGATAACAGCATATATACTACAAGTCATCCCAACACGAGCATTCTACAAGAATATCTTCACTACTTTCCACGAGGCAATCCCCCTCCGAAAGTGCATGTCAAAGGGCAAAAACCCAGGTACACTCTCATTTTTTCCCATCAGTAGTTGCCTCCATTTAGAATGCTTTCCTAGCCGGAGTGTACACAGCCACCTTTAAAAGAAGATTTAACAAATACTAGCCCACCGGTGAGTTACCATCTCCCTCATGGACCAGCTGTGTTCGATATATGTTTCATAAATCACCAAGGTTATCACCGCCGAATATCAGTGACCACTTTCCATCACTGTAATTGTCTTATTATTCGTCTTCATACAAAATAATCATTAACTTCATAATTTTCAAATTTCGCCAGGACAACCTCCTGCCTGTTGATATGAAAGCTAGTGGTATTCAGAGTTCAGGTTACTCTGAAACCAATGCACTCACTCAAAATAGAAAATAAAAACATCTACAAATGACTATCAGACTGATTATAATGCAGTTTCAGTTTGGTAAGGACAGGAGGCTTGATGGCCTATGTTAGTCCTGGCAATGGTGGTCTCTCAGTTGATCCAACTTTCTTTTGAAAGAGTCGACGGATGGAGCCTCAACCACGTGCTGGGGTAGTGAATTCCACTCGTTGATGATTCGATGGGAAAGTCGATAGTCAGCTGACAAGTACTTTGTTCTCGGCTTATGAACTTTTTTGGAGTGTCCTCGTAAATTCTCTGTTTTGGAAGACAAGAAAAATGAGGGCATATTAGGTGCAAATTTATCACTAAGCAATTTGTAGACTGTAATCAAGTCGCCTCTAGTTCTGCGATATGACAACGGGAAAAGGTTCAGCTTGGCCAGTCGAGCTTCATACGGAAGCTTCGCTATTCCGGGAATCAGCTTAGTCGCCGTTCTCTGAACCTTTTCCAGAAGCTCACTGTCTTTTTTAAGCAGGGGCTAGCCGCTTGTATGCAGTACTCAAGTTTAGGACGAACGAACACTGTATACAAAGTCAAAAACGTCTTAGCGTCGACATGACTAAAAGCCCTACGTATTGACCATAACGTTCTAAAACTTTGGCGGCTATTGCACGGCAGTGTGCAGTAGTCTTTAAGTCTTGACTAACGATAACTCCTAAGTCATTATATGTCTGGACGACAGGTAGCTCAGTGTTATTCATCGTGTATGTATCTGTGCCTTGATGACCGATATGCATCACAACACACTTGGAAGTATTTATCGGCAACTGCCATGTTTGAGACCATTCAGATAACTTCTTCAGGTCATTTTGAAGTTCTAAGCTATCACTCTTACATCGTATCGTTCTCCATATCTTGACATCGTCAGCATATAGCAAGACCGATGATGATAGGAGACAAGGAAGGTCATTTACATACAAGAGGAATAGCACTGGCCCCAAAACTGTACCCTGGGGCACTCCACTAAGCACAGTTTCCCAGCTAGATAACTTTGAGTTCACCCTTACTCTTTGTTGACGCCCAACTAAGAAGTCTTTTATCCACATCAATAAATTGCCTCCAATCCCGACTTTTCTTAACTTATATAACAGCCGGTTGTGCGGAACTTTGTCAAAAGCTTTACTGAAATCAATGAAGGCGACGTCTACAGGTAGCTTTTGGTCCTTAAGAGCGCACAAGCTTTCACGAGCCACTAATAAGTTAGTGAGACAAGAATAACCTATTCTGAAGCCGTGCTGCTTCTCCGAGAGGATCCGGTTTTTATCGAGATACTTAAACAGCTCCTTCCGAATAATCTTTTCTAAGATTTTAACAACCACACTAGTTAGGCTAACGGGGCGGTAGTTCTCAGGTTTGTGTTTCGTACCTGTTTTGAAGACAGGACTTACTATGGCGTTTTTCCAGTCTTTTGGTAAGCGACCCTGCGTAACGGATAGGTTAAAGCATGTACTTAAAGGGCTTGCAACGAAGTTAGATAATTCCTTCAGTAGCCTAGGATGTAATTCATCGGGCCCCGTGGATTTACCTATGTCAAGCTTATTTAGCAGACCAAAGACATCGAGTTCTTTAATGGTCACGCTATCCAGTGTATGTATGGGGGGATCTGTATACGCTGACGGGAAGGGCGCTTCTATGGTATATACGTTGCTAAAGTAGTTCGAGAACACTTGAGCCTTACCAAAGTCGTCCTCCACTAATGATGAAGCAGTACTGTCTCCCCATAGAGCAGGAATATTTCCTCTTCTCTTTGTCCTTTGGTTTATATAGGAATACAAGCGTTTAGGACATTCTATGGATTCCTTAACAATCTTTTCTTCGTACAATTTTCTAGACTTACGGAGGGTCGAGGCACAAGTATTCCGAGCCTTTCGATACTGAGATTTTGACTCATCAGTCCCCAGTAACCTAAATCTATCCCACATTTTCCTTTTCTTACGGAGAAGGATACGGACCTCCCTACTGAACCATGGTGGTGAGTTTTTCGGCCCCTTTGGTATAGTCCAAGGGATGTGAGGTGTGGTAACTTTTAAGTATGAATTTCGAAATGCGTCCCAGGCCGTTTCAATGGAGGACTCTGGGTCTATTGTCCAATCTATTAACGATGCTGAGTGCATGATGTCTGGTATGTTTGCTTTCCAGACGTTGGGTCTGGACTGGACTGACGCGTGCTCGTGACTGGCAGTTATATGGAAGTCGAAAGTTAAAACTGCGTGATCACTTTTACCTAGGGGTGGCATATGATGGAGTAAGTCAGCATAAGATCTAATAAGGATGATTCAGTGTCCGGATCGTACCTTGTCGCTTCTTTCACATGTTGCACTAGGGCACATGTGATAACCCCATCAACTAGTTCCTGCTCGAAAGAATTCTCCGACGATTTAGTTCGCAGATTTTCCCAGTCTACCATAGGTGCATTAAAGTCCCCTAGGATTAGACATCGACCACTTTGGGACCAAGTATTGAGACTGCTTAACAGGATCTCATTTGCCTCACAGCTTGGACTGCGATAGACCAAACCAATCAGCAGCTCTTGTCCCTTGCATTTTAAGCGAAGACTAACTAATTCACACGTCCCACTCTCATGGGATACACTATCGATAATGGCAAATGGGATAGCATTCCTAATGAATAGAGCTACTCCCCCTCCTTTGCGCTTTTGTGTTCTGTCGGCCCTTACTAACGTAAAACCCTCGAAATCAAGTTCCATACTATCTATAGCCTGTGTCAGCCAGGTTTCTGTTACTGCGATTATGTCTGGCTTTGTAGAGTCAATCTGTACACCTAGTTCCGATCGCTTATTAAGTAAGCTTCGTGCATTGGTGTAACAGATCCGAAGCCTGTTTAAGTGCCTTCGTGCTTCACCCAGAGTGGCTTCGGCATCATTCTCTGTCGAAGTCTTACAACCCGAAAATTTACAATTTTCAGGTCCTTTTCGCCAGCGTCTAACCTTAGTTGTAGTTCTTTCTCGGCTTCCCGTCTTTTAACACGGTCTGCCAACGGTAGGTCCTTTCGGATAAAGACTCCTGAACCCTTTAATTTGTGTCCATTCTGTAAAATTAGGTCACGTTCGTTCGAAGAGCTGAATACTACTTTAAGCAGTTTGGAATGATTCGGTTTCGAGTCCGCTAGACACCCTAGACTGTACACCCTTAGCAAGGTGACCCCGGTCATATTTTGAGGCATGAGTTGATTAAGCAGCTGTCTAATCAGTACAGTGTCATGTTGTAAGGAAGAAAAGTAGGGACATAAAAGGGAACCCTGCCCCCGTAAAAGTAGTTGAAAAATCGAAAGCTGATCATAGCGACAGATCAGCTATTTTTCATAGAATCAAGGAGAGCGAAAGCTCTGAACCTAAAGCTCGTTTTGAGCATGACTCAATAGTACCAATGACAAAACTAATTGAGAGAACAGTAAAAACGATACTCTAGTCGAATACTTTGACTGAAATAAATTCAATTAAAGTGAAAACAGTAGTCTTGATGCGTAATAAACGATCAAAACAAAGAAATTTACTCAGCGAGGAAAAATACAACTGTCATTTTTAAATAGCGCGCGTTAGTGCAGTCGAGTGGCTAAACTAACATCCATTGGAAATTACCGAATACATGGAACGGTACTGAAACAACAGGAAGGGAGTGTAAGGAAATCAACTGGTTTTTACAAGCTCGTGACAAAGATATTGGAGAATACACTACCGCTGGAACAAGCGCAATTTTCGTAACCAGCGTAACTTAGATATATGCAAGGTATTGGATGCATAACTTTCCATAGTTGAACATTGCAACCTCTCTAGGATATATCTAGAGTAAATAAGTATTTTTGTATTTTCAGAGGCTTCACGATGAAAACATAATTTATGGATAACCTATGAACGACGCTAAAGTGGCCTTGAGAATGTCCACCTACTGATTAGGGATAAAGAGGATTTTAAACCTGTGTGAAGGATAAGGATTGTGTTTTATGGTTGACGGTTATGGATAGAGATTAGATCCAAGGTTTCCACCACGAACTGACACCAGCTAAAGTGCCAAGACGCTATTTAGCCAAAAGGATAAAGAATTCCGCGCGGAAATCGCAAATCTGATTGGTTCGTCTATAAATCATAGTCTCGTCGCACACAATCTCCCTTCTACGTTTCTCGAAAAGATAGATGAAACTGGTTTTATGTAGAGGCTATCAGCACTGAAAAAGCTGTGTTTCCTTTTAAATTGTTCATTTGATTCATTTTCAGACTTTTCAAAGTACGTTGATATCCCGTTGATTATGTATTGGCTATTATCATCATGCGTTCTGCCTGTTTGCTCGTATCTGCTTATAATATATACTGGGTCTATCAAAATAATGATGTAGAATACAACCGGAAACTTGGCGAAAGTGCGTTTCATTATGTAGAGGAAGAGATTAGTTATCTTCCTTTATCTAAGGCATCCCCTAGACATACCTTTACCGAACATTTTGACTTCGTTGGTGTCCGTGGGTTATGGTTTAGAGTTAGTAGCATTGAACTGAGGAATCTAGCATAAAAAGCAAGAATCTTAGCGAACAATGTTTTTCATATAAGCATTAGAGAAGTTAATAAGTTTGCTGATTTTTGTTTTATGATAGAGTTATCATCTTACCAGGCATCCCAACTTTTTGCAACACGCTAAATAAGTAAGGTTTCACATACTCGGCTTTGGGCTGTGTTTAGTGTAGAAACCTGTGATAACATACAGATATTGAAGCTGGATCTAAACTACGGTCTACGATGCAAACTTTAAACGACTGAGATAGCTGTCTTTCCAAACCAACTCACTGACAGACGTCGCTTTTTCAGAAAAACGTCACCCAGATTCATCCTTAGTATAATCCATCTGTTATTAATCGTGGCAATCATAAACATTGCTAGCAAGTCACTTCATCGTAAACTGTTAATTAAAAATAACTCGGACTGAGTAGGAAATTGACATTGGGTTGTTTTTAGGAACATGTATTCTCCCGAATATGACTTACCTCATTGTTGTTTATTTACTCTGAAATTGATTTAACATACAACAAATGTTTCAGGAATGCTATTAGTTCATTAACGATAGGCCTGAATTTTTATAAATTACCATGTTAAATACACCTTGGCGTCTCAAGCTACGCCGAAGACCAGCCAAATGTAAATCCAAATAAAACAGTTAAAGCCGATTTTCATAACTTAGATTATAGGATTTCAAATAGTTCATTAAAAAGTACATCGCTAAAACTACGAGGATATAACTTTATCATCCCGAAGTGCGTTCTTAAGAAATCATAACGTGAAATTTCATTCTATGGAGAATCGGCTTATACCAACTTCACTCTAGCTTCTTTCAAAACACGGGCTTTGTGTTTGATGTTAATGATTGTACGTTTTTTCCTGTGATATCAATGATAACCCTTTGAATCTGCAAATAATCATCTCTGACCTTCGGTCTTTTGCTATATACAAGCGTTTTTTATATGCACCAACAAAGATAACTGAATGTTTTGTTGAGTTTTCTATTTTTAAGTCGCTCTGAGTAAAAATATCAATGTAAAGGTTATCAGCTTGTGTGGATCTCGCGTATTTTCTTCTTAGGATGTCAGCAGAAATTCAACAAGCCGAAGAAAAAATCGATACGAGAACTTCTCTCTGAGCGTTATAAGGACTACTTAAACCTTTCAGATGCGGATCGAATTCGCTACGTTAATTTTTCAAAAGAACTGAGCGCTGCATTACATGGTGATGATCCATCATCCTTAAAAAGGACGATTGGTAATCACATCTTTTCTGATCCTGAAAAGTTGATTCGCATGAAATTACTAACTTTTCCTTTGCCACCAAATGAAGAATTAATGGTGCGCCGGGTAATGGACAGTTGTCCATTTAAAGCTCTGTTAAGCTGCTTTGGAGGTTCATTCAACTTCAAATAACCACTAAATGAATATATAGGTTTTGTTTTGGGCGGTATCTTTGGGTTGTTTTCGGCCAGTGTGGACCCAATGAGCACAGTACATGGTGCGGAAATTCCAACTACTCGTCAAGTTATGAAGGAAATGTATTCCCGTTCATTATCACATGCCAAGAGTTTTGCTGTGGTTGGGACACTTTTCGCTGGTACTGAATGTGCTCTTGAGAGTGTAAGCTATGTTATGGCTTTGTGATATTGGTTTTTTAGTACCGTGGCAAGAGTGATCTTCTGAATAGTACATTGTCGGGTGCAATCGTCGGTGGTGGGATAGGTTTTCGAGGTAATTTTGTGTATATGTGATACTCATTTAAATTTTACTAGCTGGTTTACAAGCTGGTCTTTTGGGAGCTGCCGGTTTCTCAATATTTTCTACTGCCATCGATTACTATTTTAGACACAAAAACTAGTCGTTCTTGACTCAGTACTTGTACAGTTGTAGTAAAATATAATGAAATATTGCACAGAGTTTCTTTTCATTTCGCCCTGTTTATCCCGTTCGTTTATCAAGTGTTTGTTTTCAGATAAATCACGGTCGTTTGTCGGAGATGAGTCATAAAATTAAGTCGGAAGTCAGCTCATATTACAAACACGATAATGTTACTGTAAATCGCCGCAGAAGTTCTAGCATTGATAGTAACGATGATAAAATGTCTTACGTCAGTCGGTCGTCTAATCATAAACATAGCAAGACTAAGTCTCATAGTTCGATTAAGTCAACAACCCATTCAGAACATAAGACATCCCACCATTCTTCCAAAAAGAAAAGAAAAAAGCATAGGAGGTCATCATCTAACTCATCGTCCTCTTCATCATCATCGTCGTCATATGACAATCGCTCTGATAATGGAACCACGAAGAAACATACATCATCAGCCGCTGTTCCCAAGGAATTGTTATCTCTTTCACTGGAAGAAATACAAAAGATTAGTGAGGAAAGGCGACAAAAGAAGGTAGGCAGTTATCATACACTTCTACAAAATTTTTCTCATTAGTAAAATTGACTAAGGCTATATATATATTCAGTTGATTAATGTCATTCTTAGTAGTTAGCTAGGCAGTATAGATCACTTATTCCCCGATACTACTTGAATACATGGTGAATTAAAAACTATCACGATTCATAACTTCATAATGTATGCAGAAATGAAGCACAAATATTTCAAGGAATATGTACAGTTTGATCACAACAAAAACAATGAGCGTAGCAGAATATATGAATTCATTTTATCTTGTAGTTTCTCTTCAGCCGCTTACAACCTCATATCATAATATCGGAAAATATTTCGTCAGTAGAGAACGACAAAATGAGCAATAATTCATTCGCACTTATTGCTCTTTTCATTCCGACCACAAAATACTTCCTGCAAAAATAAGATGTTTACGCTAGTTTTTTAATACATCTACCAAAACTAATTTGCTCTTGTGAAGGTTGAGAGTGTAGATCTTTCACCTTCGTCGCCAATTGTTATGTTCTTTTGGCCTGTTAATTATCAAGTTATTTTACCAGATACGGGTTGTTTTAATGAGCCATATGTTTTTGATGACATTTATTATAAATATGAGAACAATGTGTCGAATGAATCAATCCGTGATCGAAAATCTGATGCGATTTTGGTAGATGCTGGTTTTTCTAATGATTAATTATTCAGCAATCAGATTCTTAATAAAATTGAGGAAAATATTTCAGAACAATCAAATTCTGATGTTGTCATATTGAATGTTATTTGTCAGCATAATGTATTTGTTTCTGGTGGGAAACTTGTTCAACGTGAAGCGCGATTCCTAAATGAGCTCGAACTTAATTACAGTTCGGATGATTTCATATCATCCGTCGTTTATTTTCTAATGCAGTCAGTTCTAGTGGATTCTTTAGTAAATGTAAGAAATATGCTTCAAATAAAGCTACCTCATTTCTTACTTGGGTTTATGAAGATCTAGCATTGTTTCATGGGGGAGGATAATGTCGGAAAATCAGAATTACCTATTTTGATCAGGATATGATTTTACGTGGAAACAGGCAAAACCATGTGAACACCCCCATTTTTAATGCTTCAAAAAAGGGGAGGTGTTATATCCAGACGGAGAATAGGTGGATAGTAACCGCTGGGATCTATTTGTGGACTATTGTTATATTTATATTCTTGTTGTATAACTATTAAGTAACTATATTATATGCATATTCATATTCCTTTTATTATGAGCTTTTATTTAACCTACTGACTGTTATTATAAGATTTAATATTCTTAAGATATTTCCGATTTATTGGTAACAGTCTCTCACAATCACAGCCACTTTTTGGCCTGATCCTGTATAATTGTTATTTTTCATTTTATGGTTTAATGCGATGTGGTTTGTTTGCATAATAACCCAGTATGTCTGAAATATATGATTCGTATGGCGGAGGCTGATGTTGGCGTTCTGGACTGAGTCGGCTGGATTAGGAGAGAAGCTACTATTTCGGAGGACCAATAGAAACTCTAGGCTGCTCGTACTAGTTTATGCGTCATTATTCTGGTCTTATAATTCGAGTCTAATTGGCGATCTTATCAATTGATATACTAACCGGACATAAGAACATAACAAGGTGGTTTAGTAGTTAAAACATTAGGCTAGCCGGTTCAGAACTTGTTCCATCTGTTTATGTTTAGGGGATTTGATAGTGTCGATGGTTCCTACAGTGATTGTGTGGCTCCAAGCTGTGTATTTAATCTTGCACTTGGTAGCTATGTTTCAGACTTTAATATATGATATTTCAATTGTTTACGGAGGTATACCTTTTCTTGAACTGCGGATACGAAGGTTAAATTCAAAATTATAACCACTGACATCTAAGACCAAAATATACTGTATTCTGTGTTAGCGCTTCAGTCGACTCTTGTTACATATCAATGAACTGTCCAGCTTTCTTTAGATTCGCTCGTTTCTACCCTTCTATTTTTCTGTATTAGTACGGAAATAAGGTGTACTTTATTGTGGCATGCATGATTTTGTACACACTTTTACTGGTTAATTTTACTAAAACGACTACGGTCAGTGAACGGTGTTGCAAGCATTATCTATTAAAAATACTACTACCATATTATTATATGCTACAATGAATGAACAAAAAATGCATTAAACCAGTGTAAATATCTTATTTTTGCAGGAGGTATTTTGTGGTCGGAATGAAAAGAGCAATAAGTGCCTTTCTTCACTGACGAAACATTTCCTGATATTATGATATGAATATGTAAGCTTTTCGGACTGCAAATGGTTTGTTTTTAAATGGGATGAGTTCGAAATTATTAGTCTTTGAGAACACAGGTTGAATGTTTACTAGTGAATATTAAGCGTATGATATATGCGTTGGACTTATATTAAGCTTTTGTTTCGTAACAGCTCTGTTAATTTACAGAATATTTAGTCCGTTCTTGTTTAGACCTCAACACCTATCCTAATCACTAGTAATCTGGGTGTACATCTTTGCATTTTATTTACCTTATTTTCTAATGATAGTAATTAGATCATTTCAGAAATGTTCTATAAGAAACACATTATCATTGGTTTTAATTGTTTGTGAACATAAGGTTATAAGAATCTATGTTGGGAGTCACATTGCATTCATCACTAGAAGTCAGACAACTTGCTCTCAATCCTAACCCTGTTCCATGTATTTCGGTTTATATAACTGATTAGTATCGTTAGCTCTCACAATTAGTGTGACTCGGGGCCAAGTACATGAATCTGTACCTGTTAAATAAAGAAAATAAAATGAGAACCAAAGACCGTGGCTCTACAAGCTTAACTCTTAAACAACAATCTTGCAAACTATCTTTCATAGTTTTTCTGTATTTAATAAATCTAACTCACAGCTTTGTACATAACTCTGTGGATTGTCTAAAAAGTTAGTCTTATTTGTGAATAATAGTTTAACTTATTTTGTTCGATCAGTATAGCGTGACAAAAACGGTCTGTAGACAAAATTTATAAGTCTGTTGCATTTGAAGATTATTTCCTTGTTACTAATTATTTTTTTTCGTTAAATGTTCTAAGGCTTTGATGAAAATCCTGGAAACACCAGAAGAGAAACGAGCTAGACGTTTAGCTAAAAAGGAAGCTAAAGAACGTTGGAGACGTGAACGAATGGGATGGGATAAAGAGTATTTAGGTTATACAAATGAAGATAATCCATTCGGTGATCATCATCTTTCTGAATCATTTGTCTGGAAACGGAAATTAGAACGACAAGGACTGTCACATTTATCCAAAGAGGAGGTAGGTTTTAAACTTCCTGTTCTTTAGAGATGGTAGTTTTTTAAACAGCTTTATTCTATTCGCGCTGATTACCTCTCGATAGTTAATTAAATATTGTTTCTCAGCCAATTCGAACTTTACATCAGTTAACCATAAACGACTTTAGCGTAAATTTGCATTTACACAAATTGACAGAATTCACATGAATATAATGAGAAATTAGGAAGAAAATCGTGAGTCAAAATAATAATACTTATAACAAAATAATGGTATGAGCTAAACATAGAGAATATGGTTTGATAATATCGAAAAAAATCACGGGATAAGAAGCATAAAATGATATTAAAATCCAGCGTGTAATAGAAGATAAGAAGAAAATGTATACAACCATGTCACTGCAATTGATTTTGAGCCATTTTACTCACGGTCCTCAACTGTTAACTGAAATTGCTGCACCCACTCGGACCAGGAAGTTTGCATCTTACCATATAGCTCAATCCAACAATCAATGGTCTTATGGAATAATCTCATGTTATTATTCAGTCATCTCTAAACATCTTTCAGTCTCAGTCCGTTAGTCATAAGCAACACAGAGTCTGGTATATATACGTAATACATTTATCAACCACTTTAGCTGTTAAAGATCCTTTCACCCTACTAATATCCCACCGACTATTATATATTTATTGAAAAAGAAGTGTAAATCAGTGACTTATTAAGATGCTTTTATTAAGATATAGGTCCTGTTGATTTTTCATATATCACACGATAAAGCACCGCTAAAGATTCTCGTTGACACATTTTGGAATAGTCTAAACCCAACTATTAGCGTGATCTATTTATTCTTAAACTGCATCACATCGTCTTATTAAAAACCCATTGTGTGTAACCCATCTACCATATCCATGTTCATACTTAAGATCTATGTCTAAAGTATGAACTCTAATGATACTATCTGTTCATTTAGATTTCTACATAAGGTGCGGTTATGAAGAACAGGTGACTGAACCATATATTTGCCTTGATTTTTAGTGTAATCAATTGAAAAGCCTAGAATTCCGGTTTCTACTTGTTAACACGGAAAACTTTTTTTTTCAGCTATTCAAACCCAGTTTATTGAACATCATGGTTAGGGAGATTATTTCTATTTTTCTTAGATGATCGTACCACGTATGATACTTACTCTAATGTAACCACGCAAACCTATAATTTTCATTATTTTTGTTAAATGTTTAAGTATTTTTTCTGTTTCTTCATTTACAATCACTCAATTGGTTTTCAATACCAACCTAAACCTAGCTTCAAGTCTTACAAAAAAAGAAAATGCAAGAGAATAAAATGGAATTGGAAGCTGTTCGACGTAGACGTATTGAAAGAGAACGAGAACGTGAACAGCATGAAAAAGAAATGGAAATGATGCAACGAGATAAAGAAGCAGAATATTATCGATCATGGGAACAACAAGAAGACCATTTCCATTTACAACAAGTATATTATATGCTTATATTTTAAATAAGTAGTTATTTGATCCACTGCAAAAATATGTATAAAGATATATTCTCTTATTTTTACGTACAATGGTTTCTGTAGTATTATGCTTCTGGGATATATTTGATGAATCCAGTCGTGTACTCTGTTTTAATGTGTAGCGATTTAAATGTATGTTGATGATTATTTTTCATACTTGACTAACTTTATTGCATGATTTTTTACTGAGTGATAAACTAAAATTGGCGTGTCAAATATTTATCTTGTTTTAGTTATCTAAGATATCTTAGTGCTCAACAACCTTTTTTTAATTTGCTGGACTAAGATGGTAGCAAATAATCCGAGCATACCATCAGTGTTGTATATGTTAATCACTAATCCTTTGTAAGACAATAAAACCTAATGTTCATTATTTTGTGTATAGATAAAATAATTCCTACTCTAGTATCATATGTCTCAGCAGTGCACATCTACAGTCCCTATAGGGAGAAACCGCCAGGCCTTCATTTTTCATAGTGAGTATGTAGTATGTGAGGTCACTAAACTGGAATCATATGACCTATAACTGCGACCAGTTCTTAATAATGCGGCACAATAATCATTTATGGGTCACGATGATGGGTAAATTCCTCACTCTTGGTATTGATATTGAACTTTACTAGTTTTTATGATCGCTTACTACAAATTCGGGAATCCATGTCGGAGCCAGTTGGTTAGCGTGAGCACACAATGACTTGCTAATTGGTGTCAATGCATGATAAAAATAATCTTCCCATTAGGTTTAAACATCGTAAACCTCTCAATCAAGCATAATTAGTTTTTTGGGCGGTCGGAGGTAGTCAGCAGGGAATTCAAGATCCAGGTCTCATACTAGTCGGACACGGTTAACAAGAATTATCTAAAATCTTAAGGGAACTGGTACTCCCTGTTGTATTCGGACTCGCATAACCCAGGCTCAAAAACTTAGACATCACCACTGAGAGTTATTTGGGCCTCAACCAACTTTCCGTGGGACTGAAATCTTTAAAATTTATTCACCACTGATATGGTGTTTGTCTAGTCGTTTAGTACTGGTCGAATTCTATCAATCAAGTTGCAATGTGGCAATTAGTCTAAGTGACTTAGCATCACCTGCAGTATGTTGATATGTTAGGTAGTTGAAACTAGCCGATAGGATACTCTGAACCTAGGTTTGGTTCTAGTTGGCATTCCTCAACAAAGCATACCTGCAAAAATTAATTTCTGTTCACTTTCTTGCTAAAATAGAATAGAACAAGATCTTATATTCATTTGGTTTCTAAAACGTAAACACATTATTACTTTAAGAAACTAATCAATTCTAAATTAATTTCAGAGACTCAGCGGTTCTATATTTGTGTATTGAGATTCTTAATACCTTGACCTTAAAAATCATTGGTTAATTTTATTTTGATTATATAACTTGTTTTTTGGTATGATTGTCTTTGAATTCTTTCTATGATTGAATGGATCAGTTTATGTGGTCATCTATAATAACAGTATGCTAGGCTTCATAAATCTTGTTTTGTAAATGATAGATATTTTTAAATTATGAAGTGATTGTTAAGAGTTACTTAGCAGCAGTTATTCGGGAAAATCTTTAGAACTCAAGAAAAATACTGAAAAGAACTTTGAACAAGTAATATCTTTTTGAAAACTTACAGAATAAAGGTAGATACTGACACATTAAACCTAGCTATTTCTAATTAGTTAATTATCAGTCATTATAAATTTTATTACATTTTCCTGAAGATTCTGAACCTAAAACTGTCCTAAACATATTATAATCTTTGAAGTACAGCTCCTTCTACACGTATCAGTAATCCACGTTTGTAGTAAATTTACTAGTCCTCAAGGTGGAATTGTGGTTTATTGGTTAAATCGTTAAGTTCTTAATTATTGAGTATTAGGTTCGAGACTGTCATCACGTTCTTTTCCACCATTGACTTAACCAGTGCTATGAATCCAGTGTTCATCTTGCTGTGCTAATGCGGTATGGCAATTTGGACCGGTGCATATATGTGCCTGGTCCTAGTTGTAGCTGACTGACCGACTGCATGTTCTTTTCAGGATTGTGTTGGAGCGCTCTGATTGGATATTTCTTACTCAGTTAGCGCTAGCGGATAATCGGCGGAGACTAGAATATTCTCGTGCAAAATTATAAATATACTAACGTTTTTCTTGCTGTGAATCCTACTCCCATATAACCTTGTTTATTTGGAATATAATTTTGCTCCTTATTAACCGTGTTCTAATTTGGGGACTAGTTGAGTGAAGTAAAGTGTCCGAAGAATACTAACCAATAAGAGTAGCTTGGTCGTATAAAGAGAAATATTAACAAATTCCTCCTATTAAATTTGATTTAAACACCTAAGAAACACCATTCTTACTCCATACAAAAAGTATAATATAAAGCTGACTACATATATGTGTACTTAGTAAATGTGTTACATAAAAAGGTTTTAAAGAAACCTACTCCACTTACTTCATTTTAGGCAGCTACACAGTTCCGTCACCATGTCTCACATAAAAAATACATAACTGAAAGTCAAATACATAAACTTTTATTTTTTAAATGAATTAGGTGAAATAATTAATCAAATATTTAAATTAAATAACTGATTAGTCTTATCAAGGTTTTATATCAAATTTTCTTTTTATCACTTATGGTTTACATCATGAACTGACTTTAGTTTGAAAACTACTAAGAACCAGGATCCATTGGGCAGCTACTATTCCTTAACAATACTCATCCGCTACCCCACCTGGGGTCAAACCTAAGATTTTAGGGGAACCTATAGAAGACCACTGAGTTGTCTGACCAAGGTCAGTTCGTGGTATTAGCTTTGAAGTTCAATAGTCTCTACAAACCTATTACATTAATTTTAACATTTAGTTATGGCATTAATAATAAGATATTTGTTCTAGGATATTGAAGTGTACAGTTTTATTTTTGAGATTTTTCAAAATGAAATAATTTAACATCAAATTAGTACTTACGCCTGTTACTCCCAATGGAGCATAGGCCGCCGACCAGCATTCTCCAACCCACTCTGTTCTGGGCCTTCCTTTCTAGTTCTGTCCAATTGTTGTTCATTTTTCTCATGTCTGTCTCCATTTCTCGGTGTAATGTGTTCTTTGTTCTTCCTCTCCTCCTTTAGCCTTGAGGATTCCATGTGAGGGCTTGTCTTGTGATGCAGTTGAGTGCTTTCCTCGATGTGTGTCCTATCCACTTCCAGTGCTTCTTTCTGACTTCTTTCTCCGCTGAGTCTGGTTTGTTCTTCCCACAGTAGGTTGTTAATCGTGTCTGGCCAACGGATCCGAAGTATTTTATGTAGACAACCGTTAATAAACACCTGTATCTTCTGGATGATGGCTTTCGTAGTTCTCCAAGTTTCCGCCCCATACAGTAGAACTGTCTTGACATTTGTACTGAAAATCCTGACCTTGATGTTGGTTGACAGTTGTTTTGAGTTCCAGATGTTCTTCAGTTGTAAATATGCTTCTCTTGCTTTGCCGATCCGCGCCTTTACATCCGCATCAGATCCACCGTGACATCAAATTAGTAAAGTCACCGTATATTAGATTCTATTTATGTACTTGTTAGTAGTTAACTATCACTTCGTCTATGTTTGTATTGATTATGAGATTGATGGAACATTGATTATACATGACTACTTTTATAAACCACTTCAATTCTCAATATTTGACAAGGGTAGACGAGTCGTAACGGAAGGAGTGATAGTTTAATTGAAGTAATAACTTATTATTATATGAAATAGTTATGAACAATGAGTAGTTCAAGTAAGATTTTCTGAAGTTATATTTCTTTCCTTGTTATTACCATCAATATTCTAGCTGAATATTTGGATGTACACAAGATAAATTTTAATAACCTTGTCAATATCTTACTTAATATAATATGATATTTGTTTTTTTACTATTGTAAATATTAGGCTAAATTACGTTCTCGTATTCGTATTGCCGATGGACGTGCTAAACCAATTGATTTGTTAGCAAAATATATAGCTGACCAAGAGGAAGATCCAATGGAATTTGATATATCAGGTGTAGTAGAAATTTTGGAACCGACACAATTTCTTGTTGGCTTAGGTATAGAAGATTTAGAAGATTTACTTGAAGATATTAAGGTCTGGTTGTATATTATTATTATTATATTTTCTTCTTTATTACCATGTTATTCATTATGATGTCTTTTAAACTCTTGATTTCAACAAATGAATTGTTTTATTTACGGTGAAAGATGCCTATTCATCAACCAAAGAACGAGTACCCTGTGCAGCTGTTTCCATTGTATTACTATGTAGCTATAAAACATGGTCTATAAAAATAGAAGACATGTGTAGGCTGAAAGTTTTTAAACATAAGTATCTTCGAGTCAATGGTTGCCCATCATGAAACAACTAAGTGAGCAATACTGATGTTAGGGATTCGTACTAGGTAGAAACAGTAAATCGGTTGATTAGATTGTGGATCTTCATCGATTGTGGTGGTTGAAACATGTATTACATTTGCTTAACCATTCCCTACTTTGTCGCGCGATGTTGGTTGGTGCGAGAGTAAGCTGGAAAAAGAACAGGAGCGACCAAATCAAGACGTAACATCAGTCTATAAGTCGTTGAATGTTGGTATGAAGCACGTTGGTAAGTGCAGAATGCCTGTTTTGAGATAGCGCGATTACCATGATCAATGATTGGAGATGTTGGATGACATAGTTCAGAATCGACTACCATGGCGCGAGTGCCCTTTACTTTTTATCTCCTAGTTTCTGAATCCCAGTTACCCTTCATACATATTTTTTCGTCCTGTCTTTTAAACCATAGTTTCGTTGTTCAGTGTTCTTATTTTCATTATTATTGCAATTATTTCGACCCCTTTGCTATTCATCTTATTAATGTCATCTCACCATGATAATGCGGTATGGTAACTTATTTTTTTGTACAAACCTATATGATAATTATGACTGACCGCTTGAGCACTGAAATGAGAGATTTGTGGAGATTATTTGATTTGCAAATAGTGTGTTACCTTTAGACCACTGGGGCTCGATACGCGATTGTCTACATTTCTAACTCCAGCCAATGCGATATTCCTCGACCATCATCCATTATCCTCAGTTATAGTTACTATCTCACTCTTCATATAGTTGGACCCACTAGTAAAAGTTCCTCGCTGTTACTCCTAGTCTTATTTAAGAATTACAGACACTCATGGGCAGTTATATTAGGATTGAGATCAGTTATCTTAAATGTCAATATCCTATGTACTACTAACTAAACAACTTTGCTGTTTCAACACTCATCTATCCACTTTTTCTACTGACTTTTCTTGGAATACTTTTTTGAACTATAGGTAGTGTATATGGAATTAGAAAAAGGTTGTAATGCAGAATATTGGCGTGATATTACAACTGTTGTTGAAGATGAATTAAATAAATTGCGTCGATTAGAAGAAAATAGTGGAGTAGCTGGTGCATGCGGTGCCGATACCAGAGGTCGTAGTTCGGCTACTATTAGTCAGTCTGTTATGCAAAGTGTTGCTGAAACATTAAAGGGTAAAACATACAATCAATTAAGTGCATTAGAAAAACAAGTAAGTTTTTCATTATTTTAAAGGTTATATAGATGAAGTCTGATTATTTATTTTGTTCATGTTAAAATGATAATTGAAGCGATATTTTCGATAATGTTGAATTCTCTGAGTTGAATAATTTCTAATTGTTAAGTTTTCTCTGTCATTTTCTGGACAAAATCATTGGTGCTTACTTCAGATAAAAGCTCTGACATTGATCTCCAGAACAACAACGAAAGCTTTCGCAATTGAAAAGAAACTATCCAGCTTAGAGCATTTAAGATTATTGAAAATTAGTTCATGTGATAAAGCACGACTGTTGATAACCTAGTAAAACTTCACTCTCCTTTCGTCAATTCAGATAAAAGAGTAGTATTATTAGCCTATATAATTAGAGAGAGCGGCTCCAAGTACCTAATGAATTAGTTTATTTAAATTTGTTTTTAAATTAGTAAAAATGTCAGCATATGCCTTATATTGGTTTGTATTACAATTAACAACACTACCTTCCGTATTAGTCTAACTGATACTGTCAGGCGTTGGATACCCTCTCGTTGTCTTTTTTTATTCGTATATATGTTGATTACCAATTGCCTCGAATTGATCCATTAATTTTGGCTTTAAAGTCATGTTGAATTGAGAAGCACATTCTGATCGCTGATATAAAATGTGATTTACTACAATCTTACCTTGTCAATTTTGCTAATTAACAGAATCATCGTTGTAATTCAAAATTACTGACATTTATTCACTTTCGGACACAAATACAATGTTAACGCTATCAACTACCACTGGAGTACTAATGGGTTTAAAAAGTTACTATTTTATAGAATTGTATTTGCATCAACTACACTTTTGATGACGTTTGTGTTTGACAAAAGTAAATAACTCAAAATCATCTTTATTGATTTAAAGATATTTGTCTAAATGACTTATTGAAGAAGGAACTAACTCTACCTATGTTATAGCATAGTGATATGCCCACTAGTGTTCAGTTAATCTATGTACCAATAACTCAGTAGTCATATCACTCTAATCTCAAACAGCGGATTTCACATTCAAACCCAACGACACCCCACCGATTTCGGTAGCTGTCTAGTATAATTTGCAATGGGAGTTGAGTACATAAACCACTTGTACTTGGGAAATGACTTGATACTAGAATTTTCTGTTAAAACGGTAGTGTCATTAAAAGTATAACAATCATTGAGTTTATTTCATCACTTAATTTATTTTCAGTTACATTCCATTAATTTTCTTATGTTCAGACCAAAGATTTGACTATTTAAGCAGCTACATATTGTTTGTCTGTATACATAAAATTAAGTGTTTTAGTTTGTGGATAGTTTGCATCACCCAAGTTAATTACTGATTAGAGCTTATAATTATTATTAATCTGTCTACTATCGAGTCTTTAATAATATTGAATTGTTGGTTAGTAGTTACATGTACCCAGTGTCATGATTTTAAGCAGTCTCAGTTACACCCTGAATATAACCAACTAGTGTTTATTGTTTCAACAGTTATTGATTACTGCGTTTATAATTGTTTCTGTTATAAATTAAAATTAAAGACCAATATTGCAACATCATAAATGATGTCATGTTTCCAACAATCCACGTAACTGGATGTTATGTTTTCGTGTTCAATATATTATGAAACGTAATGAGTTTATATAACTGTATTTAGGATAGTGTACATTCATCTAGTAAGTCATTTGCTACGATTAGTTTAAATAGGATGTTGATCGATTAACTATTCGAATGTTAATGAATGATGTAATAAATTATGAGAGGATCAAAGTAACTCACTTGAATAAACTGTTGTCTAGTTTGTAGAAACTATGCAACCTACACTTTTGACACTGATCTTGTAGTCCAAGACCATTTATACTAGTCAACGGTAGTTTAAAATTAAGGCATAATAGTGTTGATATCCTTGTTTTTTTTTCTTGCTAAAAGTGTATTCTCGAATTGTAATAAATTTATTATCTGACCTATGTAGCCACTTTATCTTTTAGTGTTTTTACATGTACTTCTAATTCTCATTATAAAACGATAGAGTTCTCTTCATTTTGTACATTATGTCCACAGGCATTCATATAACGCAGACAAGATAAGATAAATTTGATTTGCAAAGGTGAACAAGATAGTTTTCAACACAAATCGACACTAGATAAGTAACTTCTAAAAACGAACAAACGATTGTTTCTTGAAAAAAAGTTATCTAAGAATACAAATCAATAGTTTCCTCTGTCAATTACTTATTTATATAAGTTGCTTAGGAAAAAGAAGTATTGGAAGTTGTTTGGTTCTCAGTATTTAAAGTAAAGGGTAGAGTGTTAGAGATAAGTCTTTATACAAATTGTCTATCCATACATTCTAAAGTGTTGACTGGTTAGAGCTTTTTTTTATTAATTCTCTGACGTTAAATGGTTCGAGGTAGTTGATCGGCAAAAACCCTTAACTCAAATTTCATGCTAGTTGGAACTCGTCAGTTCTGGAAGATTTAGAATCTTTCACGTACCTGGACAGCATCATCGATGAACTAGGAGGATCGGATTCAGACGTAAAGGCGAGGATTGGCAAAGCAAGGGCAGCATTCTTACAACTGAAGAACATATGGAACTTAAAACAACTGTCAACCAATATCAAAGTGAGATTCTTCAATACAAACGTCGAGGCAGTTCTACTGTACAGAGCTGGAACATGGAGAACTACTACAACCGTCATCAAGAAGGTACAAGTATTTATAAACAGTTGTCTGTTCAAGATACTGAATGTCCGTCGACCAGAAACCATTCGCAACAATCTACTGTGGAAGAAAACAAACCAGGTCCCAGCTGAGGAGGAAATTAGGAAAAGACGATGGAAATGGATAGGACATACGTTACGGAAATAACCAAACTGCATCACGTGGCAAGCGCTTACGTGAAGGAAAACGGAAAAGAGGAAGTTCGGAGAACACACTACGTCGGAAATTGGAAGCAGACATGAAAATGATGCATAACAACTGGGAAGGGTTGCCCAGGACGGTGTTGGATGGAGAATGCTGCTGAGCGGCCTATTCTCCTTCACGAGGAGTAACAGGCGTAAGTAATGAAACTGGTCAGTAGGATATACCTGCTATATTAAAACTTACGTCATGCAGATTTACAGTCTCTGAAATGGCAATTTCGTATTCGTTAACAACCTAGATTTTAGTGAATTTGTTTTATTCCATTACTTTCATTATACAAACATATAATTGTTGTCACTGAGTTTACCAAAACATAAGTTGAAACTTCCTCGTTTTTCACATGTTCTTTTGTTTGCTCTTATAGATTGCTCCAAAGCTACGTGGTGGTGAAGGTGTAGATGTAACTTATTGGGAGACATTAGCTCAATTTGTTCGTGCTCAAATGGCTCGTACTCGTCTACGTGATATGCATCAAGACAATCTCAAACGTAAATTAGAATGTTTACGTCAAGCTCAAGGTATTGTCTCAGAACCATTGTTTCCTAGTGCTGTGTTGCTAAACAGCCAAATGATCATGTCGAATTGGACATTGAACAACCTGCTCAACCTATTGAAGATGAAAATGATCCTGAAAATTTCATCCCACCTCCTTTACCTCCGATTGAATTGAACAGAGACGTAAGGGGACTCGGTTTGTAATAATTTAATGTTCATTTACTCATTTAAATTTCATAGAAGCAAAGAATAGAAATATTGAAAGTGTTACCTCTGGGGAGAGAACTGCTTAGCTGACTTAATTTTGACACTGAAACTCTGAATCCGACGATGGGTAGTGGGAACACAAAGATTGGTTGATATGGATTTACTTGACCCTTGGAAGTAGATCAGTAGGTAGAAAGGAATATCAGACAACACAATCGTAATTGATTAATGGACAGAACGGTGTTGCACAACTTTTGGGTCTTGAATTTCTCCAAACATCCACCTATTGTTATAAGTTCTTTTGTTTTCGATTTGTCTTAATTAACTAATTTTATCTGTCAATTGTGTGTACTTACACGGCTTTGTAAAATATTCACAATCTACCACGTATCTAATTACTGAGAACCGCCAGTATGATGACTCATATATTTCCCTTCTCTTCTGTCTTTTTGTGAAACAAGAGACGATTAATATCGAATTTATACATTAAAAATATATTTAGCAATTTAGAAAAACGTCCATATGGGCAATAAGTTTGATCTTTAACATTTATAGATGAGTATGATCGGGAGCGACTTATTATTACTTCAAGTCGAAAAGAAACCTATGACCAAATTCGGTTGTAATTTAACTAGAAAGAACTATTGATGTTACCCTACAATAATCATTTTTCTAAAAGTCCATCTACTATCAACCAATGGCTTATTGATGAATTGATCAAATTCCCTGTATTATACTCTTTAAGTAACAGCTCCAAACACTAATCTTCCCGATTACTGCTTATACTCTTATTACCTCTACCACTACGGGATTTGAATCAACCACTGCATCTTTGTGCTAATGTGGTGTGGCAACTAGAACTGATGTACGTACGTACGAAGTTCTACGTTGTTTCTGACTGACTGATCAAATTCATGTGTAATTTTGCCTGTTATTATGAACTAAAGTTAAAATAAAGGTTAACCGCTCGTCATGAGACTTGAAGGTCCTGGGTTCAATTTGTGGTGGGGTTGTGAGAATAAACACTGTTGAACAGTCCCATACATGGATGAAACAACTTTCGAATGCTTCGTAGTTCCTATTGATTGTCTAACTTAGGTTGGTTCGTGATCTCAATAATATCCAATGATCTTCACAAACCCCCTTATACTGAATCATATGTTTTTTGTAATGGGAAAAGTACACACCTATACTGTGTCGCGCATTCAAACAAATTTTCTCCCTCTCTCATATTCTCGCTTTAGGGTAATCCAGTTAGTAATAATGCTATTGAAGACTTACACAGCGCTGAAGCTATCAAAGCTGTTCGTGCAGCTGAACTACAAGCTGCTGCTTTGATTGAAGAAGAATCGTATAATCCGTCGATTTATTCACCACCACGTATTAATCCGGATGATTTAGAATTGGATGCCGTTATTTATAATCCAGAAGATGACCAAGCGAAAATTGAATATCAGGTTAGTCAAATACTGTTAAAGACCATTTGTTTAATTTAAGCTCATCTCTTTTTTGAAAAAATTAAACATTTTAGCAATGTGTACATTTCAAACATGATTTATTTTATACATTAATAAAGGTGGTTATATTTGAGTTCGGTTAATGGTAATACATTAATGTTTAAAGTGAGAGACAGTAGGCTCGAGTCTCATTATTTAGGATTCGAGTATATCCAACTGACGAGTCCTAAACAGGACGAAGTATTGGTCTAGACCAATTAACCTTAATAAAATGGACCAGCTAAAAACACAGTCAAGTACCAGCGCCATTCTAATATCTCACATATCATGTCACTAGTATACTTCCCAAACCCAGCTGAATAAGTTATATGATTCTCCTACGGTCTCCTCATTAATATACGGTTGTGTCCAAAATAGTTTTTTTGTTCTTCATTAGCGGTGATTAACTAGATTTTGGTATACCAATGTGTTAGGAATTTAGTATCGGTGTTATCGGAGTATGTTTTACTTCTAACTGAGATGCTAAGTGTTTAAAGGTAGTCACCAGGAGACTTGGGACCTATGTTTCGTGCTAGTTGACATTCATCAGCAAGTAATTTCGATGAAACCAATGCTCCATGTGAGATTCGAACCCTTGTCGCTCGCCCTCAAAATCCGACACGTTACTACTGAGCTATAAGAATGAGATATCTGCACTAATTGATCACTGAGTAGTAAAGTGACCAATTTCATATTTGTTTTGTCATGCCGTTTGAAATCTATCTACCAAGTTACACTGTGCCCTCAAGATTGCAGGAATACCTTTTTGATGAGTACCAACTGATACATAACCTATTTTCAGGGTCTTCTGCTGACTACTTCCAACAAAGTGCATATGATGTCAGGTTACTTTGAATAGGTGGTCACAATTCAAGTTGGCTGATAAAATTCAATTAGCATTAAACGACTAGAGAAGTACGATACTGAACATTATTCAATGATCAAACAATTGCTATTTTATTCCTCTAAGTATGCCTTATTTCTCAAATTAATGGCTGTTACAGCTATAAATGTCTTCACATAAGTAATAAGTTCTACATAAAAAGTATACTTATGTACGCACTGTTTTTCATTATCAGTGATAAGTGATAACCTCATACTTTGCACTCTAATTTAAAGTGTTGTAGTAATCTATTAAACTGTTTACAATATTTGTGTTTATTAATATTAGTTGTCCATATTATTTTACTTACAATCTTGCCTTTTTATTGAGATAATGAACTGATCAATCTTAGACCACCATTGAAAACCTGGAAGCACAAGACGGCTGTTCCGTGGATGTGCATTACTGAGGAGTCCCATACTTGGGCAAAAAGATCATTCAGGGCTTCCAGATTTTCAATGATGGTCTAACGCTGATCAATTCATGATTTCAATAAAAACTCAACAATCTCCACAATCCTTATATTGATAATCTTGCATTTTTACAAAAATATTACAACTTATCTATTAGGTACAAACTTTTATGTAATTGGCTTTAAAATACAGTTTTATATGGCAACTACCCAAAGTTTGAGAAGCAGGGTTCAAACCTGAGATGTGATAGTCGTAATCAGGTGATCTAAACTAAACTATTTGTTTCACAACCATTTAATGAAATAAATTCATAATATATAATCATGTTTTACGTTTAATTTCTTAATAACTATAATTCTTTGTTTTTTATTTTTTTTAATAATAGCGTCAAGAAGTCTTACGTACAGGAACGATGCAAGCTACTGAAGAAGAAGAGCTTATAAGGCGAGCTAGAGAAGGCATGGAAGATGGTGAAGATGCACAATTCTCAGTTATGGTAAGCATGACTATATCGTTGTATTGAATAAATAGAATATGGTCAGCAGTGCGATCCAGGACACGCATCTCGTCCTGCTTGGGACTCGTCAAGTGAATGTAGCTGCATTCTGAATTCTACTACTGGTTATATTTCATCTGTTCTATACGTAAACTTGTGTCATAATGGTTATTTCGAGGGAATCCGCACTGGATGCACACATGACAACTAAGACTGATCAGGGTCCAGTCAAAATATCAAAAAATAAATAATTCTAATCAACACAAATTAAATTATATTGTTGTTTCGTGAAGATATTTTAAAAGGTAATGAATGCCTAACAATAATTTCGTGAATTATTTAAAATCAGAACTTAGTTTTTGATCATCCATAGAAATTATTATGTGAACCGGTATACGTGTAAGTGTATTCGATAATCTGTAGTTAATCATTGGTTAAACGATTATTTCATTCACTGACCAACATTGCTCAAAGGATAATAAAAATATTAGAAGGCATCAGGCAGATAGATACCTTATCATTTACGAGAGGGACACACCGTTACCGAGTCGATAGACGTGTTTTCACTCAGTTTATTTTAAATATGCTTGGAGTATTGAAATGATAGGGAAGACTGGTAGCTTAGAGGAATGTTTTCGGTTATGTTGTGTTCTTTTATCTGGGGTGCTCTAATTGTGAAGCTCTCCTTGTCGTTCTGATCAACGTCATCAGCACTTATTTCATTCAACCCAAGGAACGTAACACATTCCAAAGTCAAACTATTATTGGATAACATCAGTGAGTGTCCACTATCAAATCCAACTTGATTTTATAGTTTTTTTTAATGAGAAGACATCTATCTATTACAGAATATCCTTGATTTGAATACATTTAGTATTGTTTTACTTGAATCTTCCCATTGACGTTTTAGGACTGAAATTGCACAAGCAAGTGGCTATCAGGACTCAGTAGCTAAGTGGATAACGCGATGGCGTTTGAAGCGAACGTTACTGAGTTCGAGTCCCAGAGTGAACATCAACTCTGAGATGCAGGTACATCCGGCTGACGAGTCCCAAACAGGACGAGACGCGCGTCTTGGATTCCACTACTAGCCGCTATCGATCTTTGCTTATAATGCTTGATTTAAATAGTTTAGAATCGAGTAAACTAACCAGTTGTTTAGTCTTAATCAAGACTTAAAATGAAATCCGAAGTATGATCACCATTTTAATTTTATTATAAAGAGAATATTTGTGAAATCGACAGCAAAGTTTTAAAAGTTTGAAGCTTATAAATTAAATATAACTGTGACTTAAATGATCATTTAAAAGTAAGACATTATATTATTTAGACGTATGTATGAATATTTTTGTCGTATGTGCTAAGATTAGTTAATCTTCATGGAAGATGAGCAGCTGTTACGTAGGAGTTGGGGCTGATGTCGTTTTGTAACCAAGTACAGTTTCATTTACTAAGTTTTAAGTAGCTACATTTATATGAGGGATACTTCTCTTCTTCAGTTGTAGTAGGATTGATTCTGTAAGTCATTTAGTCGATATCTCATTACTTCAGCATTTGAAGGACTAAATATCGCCACTATTACAGAGAGTGTTATTAGTATAAATCACTATGATATGTTAGTCATAGTTGTTTGAGGCAAGAAAAGGTGTATATAGTTGTTTTATTTGCTGATATCACCTAAAATCATTTGCCACAGTTTCTAAGACTATTAAAATTAACCAGGTAGCGACTTTCCCACAAAATAATCACCTAATTAATGTGTGATATACATTCAAGTTGATTGTAATTAATTAAGTACTTGTATTCGGTGAATATAATTTTAAGGAATGATCCACCTTTATCCTGATACATACACTAGGAATCGATTGTTATGAATGCCTTTTGTTTATGATCACACAAATTATTTTGTATCATATAATATACTCATTAATGACTAACTTGAAGAATTTCTGAAGTTCTAGTAAAAATCTGTGATCATTGAAGTTCATATGTGTCAGTTGTCTTCGATGGTAATGGTTGGGTTATGTTGCAAATTAGCATTTTAGAAGTATGAAGCATTGGTCGAAAACTAATTAGTTGAAGGGTAACGCATTGGGCACAAGGTCTTGGATTCTGTGGCTGGAAGCGCCTCGACTACTCAGCACCTACCACAAAGAAATTTTGTACTAGAAGAAAATAATTGTCCAATGTTCTTTGGGAGGATGTAGTGATTGTTTAACTGAAATCAGCTTATGATCTAAACCACAACATGTCTTTATTTCACCCATGATGCGTATTATAAATTTATCTATTGTTTCATTCTCATTTTGTCGTCTAGATTCCAGTTGAAGATCAATCTTTCCTTTGGTCCGATAAATATAGACCAAGAAAACCACGTTTCTTTAATCGTGTTCATACTGGTTTTGTATGGAACAAATATAATCAAACACATTATGATCTAGATAATCCACCGCCTAAAATTGTTCAAGGCTATAAATTCAATGTTTTTTATCCGGATTTAATTGACAAAACTAAAACACCGACTTATACATTAACATCATGCGGTGAAGCAGAGAAAGATTTTGCTATTCTACGTTTTATTGCTGGACCACCATATGAAGATATTGCATTTAAAATTGTTAATCGTGAATGGGAATATTCGTATAAACATGGATTTCGATGTCAATTTCAAAACAATATCTTTCAATTATGGTTTCATTTTAAACGATTTCGTTATCGTCGATAATAGAGATGAAATTACTTTATACTACTTAGACTTTACAAAAACTTGTATATTCTGTATTTTCACATTTTTTATTTAATAGAATGTATATTTTGAACTTTTTTTGATATTTTAAATTCATATATATTGCATTCAAACTTGATCAATATAGTAACGCGGTTTTGTGAATTTTTCTGTTATCACATACATGTACTGACAACTACATTCTATCCGTTTAACGATAATGCCCGTCGATTACTGAATATAAACAAAGCATGTTGTAAGCAAGTCGTGTGACTGATTCATCATCATTACATTGGTTCGTAATACATCACTTCATGCTTATTTCATTTAGGGGTACCTTGAATACGTGAAACCCTATTTCAACACTGATGGTTAAACATCTTTGGTATTTTAATGTTGTCCATTGTTATTAGGAATGTTGATTAAATGTAAATTAGTAAGGAATTTACTACTCTTTCATAGATTCGAAGTGGTAAGGGACTGATTTTTTTGTATGTTGATAATCTGTTCTACTTATCAAGAAATGATATATGTGTCCATTGAGAACTTATTAACAAATCAAAACTAAGATGAGTGAATTCATATCTATATGTTGATCTGGTTGAAAAATTGTCAACAGTGAATTACAGTAGCCTGTTTTTTTCACTCACTGTCGCTTAGCCTTCGTTTGTAACGAAACAATATATCAAGACGTATGTCGATTTAGATAGTTGATCTGCATTTGTCAATAAATAAATTACATATAAAAAATTATTTTATTATTTAACACAGATATTGGTACAAGGAGGCACCAGATACATATGCGCCACATAGATCGCATTTGATATGTGTGAGGGCTGTGATACTGACCGGGTGCCCAAACCGAAGCAGGTGGTTTTCTTAGGGGGCCACACCCGCAGCCTTCGACCTGAATGTCTGATCCACAAGGCAGTGGAGCAACGTAAGGAGATGGATTCCCATAGTAGCCGGTGACCAACGATTGGTTCATACGCCATTTGTTCCTTCAGGACACTGGAGCCCATGTGCGCCATTGGTTCGAAATAAGAATTTTCCAACTCCCCTAGATATGGACTCTCCATGTCCACCAACCCGGTTAAAGCGCCGGACATTCGCTTTTCGTCCTCTCAATTTCGTAAACAACACCCGCCACGAGAAGACAGTGAGTAGGACTTCCCTGGCAGAGGCTATATGCGTGTGGCCATGTGAGAGCATTTCGAGAGGTAGGGTGGACTCCCCCTACTCTCGGCCGTACCAGAGCATTTGGGGGTATAACGAGGATGGCCCACTGGATATACAAAATAAGCTGATTAATGCTAGTTCATTAAAGCTATATTTGACTTCAAAGTTTCTATTACTATTGATGAATTACTATGACTTAAGAGAAACTTATCACTCTGTTATATTTGTCTTATATTAGATTTCTCATTCCATGGTTGAAATGCTAATATTGACAATTCAATTAGATTAATTACAATATACACTCTGCACGTGTCCTCAGTTCAGTTGAGCGATTTGAGGTAGTTTACGTAGTGAAATGGATCATGTAAATCTAGTATCTTGTTGGATATATGTTAGAAATTGATTTCCATTTCGCCATTTTCATTCCTTAACGTCCATTTAATAACATGTTGTAAATCCACTTTTGGTTAACACTGAATTATAACGCAAGAACTATGCGTATATCACATCAAATAAATTTGCTTAGTGACATTGAGTTATTTTCACTGTAAGTGGGCGATGAATCACACGATACTGATCACATACTGGCTACAATATCGATGCCGTTATTTATTTAATAGTGGTAGTTTTGAAAGTGAACTGAAAATAGGTTTTCATTGATAGCTGATTGTATACACGAACAGAAACATGATTCTCTGTGCACCGAATAGATTATCTTTTCAAGTAGATACAATTTGTAAGAATTTGCAAAAGTAGAAACATCAACATGATACCTGGAGGTCAAGTCAAGGAAAACTAACTTAATAATGAAACTATGACAGTAACAAGGTCTAAAAGTACCGATTAGTTTGCACATGAACCTTTGGTACATCGAGAGCTTAACCTACTTCACAAATGATCCATAAAATGATTATTCAGCTATTGAGTGGTCGAAAAAGGAAATTATGTTTACTGAGGTCTAAATCATATCTTACAGGATAAATGATGGAAGAATATCTAATTTGAAGATACATGTGGTTCGCTACGTTCAATCTAGGCATTTGTTTCTTGCCATTGTATACCAAAGTTGTTATAATTTCTCTTATTACGACCCAGCTATTCCTATTGCTTAGTATTCTTAGACAACAATTCACTCGACAAGTTCCCAAATCAGAACACGGTTGGACAGGAACAGAATTTTCTTTTCAAATATCAAGGATATGCTTTAATTCAATCATTGTCCCGCTAACAAAAGTAGAGCAGCATCTAATGACATGTTTCACAGAGGAAGTTATCACACATTAAGCTCTTAAAGAGAATATATCTGCAGGTCAAACGAAGGGAATGAGTAACTTGAACGACAGGGCTGATAACATGGAAAAAATAAATAACGCTAGTTGACAATGACAGAATTTACTGATATGCTATTAATTGGTTATAATCCATAAGATTTTGAGCAAATGTTCTGAATATCAGCGGTGTAGATATTATATTTTTCTGAATGTATATCACAGGAATTACGAAATGGTAGGAATTTCAAATAAATAGTACTATAGAGAAAGCTAACTATACAGAAAATATCTACACGAAAACCACCAAACTTGAAAACTTAAAAAAAAGTAGAAACGAAATTATGTTGATGTTAATAATCCGGATAAAGCAAATCGGTTTTGAAATGATGGATATGGGCAAGTGAGTAGTGGAGGTTTAGTTGAATCCAAAAAACTGAATTTATCATTTTCTTTTTCAGTCTCTAAAGCTGAGGATTTGATAATTTCACGAAGTTCTATCCAGGAAACAATTAAATTAGAATCAAAATATGCATTATTAAAACAATTAGATGATGATTGATTTATTATCCGAGCGAAGGAATCACTTAATGAATAACCAAGTTGAGACTGAACATGTTCACCGAAAACTGAATCAATGGTAGAAAGTAAATCAGTTTCTGTAACTTGATCATATGTATTAGTATCACTGTCAAATTCATGATTACTTAGCATTTTAAAATGATTAGAATCAGAGAACAATGTTTCAACTTTGGATGCTTGTTCAACTTCATCTAATTGAGGCGCAAAACAACAATTCAAAGCACCAGGATCAATGGGATGAGCTTCTGTATTGAAAATGTAACCACCTGATTCTGGATAACATTGAAGTCCTGACGGTAAACGAGAACCTTCTAACGATGTTTTTTCACCTGGTAACTGATGTATGAAGTTATTTTCATCAAATAATAGGTATAAATATTTTGTTGTTTCCGCTAGAAAAAACGACTCCATTCTGTCTTCCAAAGTATGTTTTGTAACATCTGAAACCTAGAAGAACGGATACTGTTTAAATATTCTTGTTTACATAATCAATTTAAGCATAATAAAAGAGATGTGTATTAATGTGAGGGCTAGCATAATACACAAGGGCAAAATAAAAGTAAATGGCTTTTTAAGGGGTTTCTCCATGAGCCATTTAACCTAGAAGTTTAATCTATAAAGCAGTCGAACGTTAGAATCCATCCCATGGTAGTTGATAACCAATTTCATAAATGAGTACATAATTGTTTACAAACGGCAAAGTTTGCAGTCAAATTTTTTAGTTGAGAGGTTTAAGTCAATAATCGAAAAATCTAAACCCTGAAATTGGAGGATCTGTGAAATAGAAGTGTTATCACAAGACAATCGTATAGACTTTCTTAAAAACTGGAAGATTATATGTCACTGAAGTGTTAGTTATCACATCAATATGAATTCTAGACTCAGTCAATTACAGGATGAATATCCTCAGTGAAGATATTTGAAATTCATTTTTTTCACTGTAAAAGGCAGTGATGATTCACTGAGTTAATGATATTAAATTATACTAGAAAACTAGAGTATCTTCAACAAACTACTAATGTTTATAAAAACAACAGTAAGCTGATCGCTTTTTACCGTAAATGAATATAACAATAAATAAACACGAAAATATTTACCGTCGCAAAACCACAAGGTGTACGCGCTGAGACTTCAATTGAAGTCAAAATGTCCACGCCCATATCAATCAGAGCAGGTCACGTGTCGCACGATATACGTAGAGAATGGATTCAATTAATTCTATTGAAAAGAATAAATCCATCTATTATTTTAACATTTTAACGAGAAAAATATTTCAAGAATGAAGGAAGAGCACAACCCAGAAAAGAGTGACGAAAAACGAACACTTTAACCACTAAGTCTCAGGTTCAAACTCCGCTACACTTTGAGCAACTGGGTAGTGTCACCAACTTTAACAGCTTATACCTAAACTAATTTAAAACTATTTTATTTGGATAGCCTTTTATTAGTATGTAGGGTTTGTTTTTGACACATTTGTTTTAGATCCTACGAATTGTTACATCAGTAGTAAAAATAAAAAAACGACTTCTGAACTGAACAATATTTTTTTACCTGGTCGTAATGGGTATGCCTCACGACCCTTGTAAGCCTTTTCATCAGATAAACTATAGAACTCCGGAAGAAATCCATATTTTCTCCATATTTCATGATAAGCAATCAAATGTCTGCGAGCACACTCAATATCACCTGTAAGTGCCTATAATGATTGTACAATCAAAGTGAATTTGTCTTATATTAAATATTTTAAATTACATTGTTAAATTTACTTGATAAGACTGCTAACACAAAAAAACACTTAGAAACTTTAATTACTATAACTTCTTAATAAAGAAACTTAAATAAACTGAAAGTAAAAACATTTCATGGACACGTGCCATATGAGAACGTTGCCTGTCGCTTACTAATCGTCAATCATATTGAAGGTGGGTTCAAAGTAAACACTGAAGACTTTAACCTTCACTTACCAAGTTCATAAGATAGTAGATTTTATTGTCAACTTTGTAAACATATGGGACTTACTAATATACACCTCAACATCAAAGCTGAATAAGATTGGAAGATGACCAGTGTGTTAGTTATAATGTTTTAAAATAGTAGAAAAAAACATTTTATCCAATGTCACTTTACAGGGAATATATTCAACGTGTATTCTAATAATTTTGGATTGCAATAAACAATTTAAAGCGGTTCAGAAGACAGTTTACATATATTTAGGACAAGCACCAGTATTTAGAAAGAGTTGCTCAAAAATCTGTTTAAAGTGATCTCTAAGGACACTATTGTCTATATGAAAGATCGTGTATTCTAAATAGCCTCATTTAGTAGAAAGTAAATAACTGGTAAAGTAACTGTTTGTAATATAGAATCTGCGAAAGCCTATAGCATGGAATCCTCTTGTACTGGTAAAATATTTCAAGAACAATTTTGCAAGATGGCATAAATCGTTTTGTAGGAAATAAGTAGTGCCTTAATTCATTCACCTTTAGAGGCAACAGTACTGAATTTTATTTTTATTACAGGAGGCTTTGTAGAGATTATTGGATCTTCATGGTTTTGAAGCATTAGTGGCCAGGTTCAAGATGAATATCCTGGAGCTTTAGTGATGAGTCATGACCAGTGGAGTTCAGTCATGTTGAATCTAAGATAGTTATCCACCAGAGACAATGGAAGATGGTCGCGCAATATTGTGAATTGATCGAAGTTAAACATGTACACCACTGAGTGTTAGCTCAGTGGCTAAATTGCTGAGCGTTCGAGGGCGATACCGTAGGTCCTGAATTCAATACCCGGTGACAGGGTTGTAGATGCGCACTGCCAAGGAGCTCCATACTAATGAGACGAAAAACCTGTCCAGTGCTTTCCGGTTTTTAATGATGGTCTAGCTAACATTAATTCGTAATTTAAAGCTGTGTATTTTATTTCACAAAAATGGTAAACACTCATTCAGAAGACAATTTTTGGTTCGATGTTTCTGTGAAAATAAACTATAAATACTTTGAGAGGGATCAATCATTGTACAGGTAATATACTGCACAAATAACAATTTTTTCTTGAGTATACGTTCCGGTGACTAAGTAAAGATATAAGAAAGTAGATGGAGATATATACCTTATGAGAAACTACAACATACAAATTTATTCTGTCTTGCACTTAGCATAAAACTAGGAATGCTGACAATATAGGATAAGACTCACGATGCATGTGCTTGGGAAATCAGTTCGAATTGCATAAATCTCACTAATTTAATGCAATTCATCTATCACATACGACTTTAGGCCATAATTGAGTTTATCTAAGAACTAGTAATACTACTCGAGCGAAGATTAAAACTGGAATTCAATCGACTCAACAGAGAAGTCACCGTTTTATATATGTCGCAGAAGTCCTGAATAGTGCTTTTAAAAAAAACAAAAGAATCAATGATGTAAGACGAAATCCAAATTAAACGAGATTTTTAATACATAAACAGATATTTAAAAACAAACAAATGAATTACCAATAAACCAGGCCAAAATGCTTCAAGACTCTGAAATACTGCCATTGTAACTCCACCTTTATCCTTGTTTATCATTGGGTTCCAATCACCATGTCGAATATGCTTTTCTATTGCTAATCTGTACTCTACAGTTGTAAAGAAAAATAAGAACAGTGAACACAGTACGTTTATGGCTTACGTCGTAGACATTCTTTGACTGATTGTCTACCTAAGATCAGATCGTTATGTTAACTCTAAAAATCCAACAATATCCACAAAATTCTTATCCCAAGAACACAATTCTCCCTGTAGGATTATCAACGTGTAAAAATTTCACTAATGTTTAGTAATGAGAATAGCGAAATCTATTCATTTTAAGTTAGTACAATTATTGGCACATCAATGAATAATGACAACGAAATTTATCACTAGTAACTATTCAGTCAACCAGTCAAGCATAACGTAGAACCTAAAGCTTGTGCACATCAGTTTACGTTTTTATACCCCATTAACGCAAAGAAATGAAATTGCTAAGGCGAATTCCAGGATAGTAAAGGTAGTTGCAGTATTATTTGTAATGGAAAAGACTAAGGATCAACTACACGATTCAAGAAAATGTGAAATAAACAAATTGCAACGAATCTAGGAACTTAGGATGTAGAAGACAAAAAGTGGATGCACTTGCGCCACTGCGAACGATTTTGAGCTATCTCATTCAAAGTACCTAACCATTAGTTACGATAATCACGTGGATCTCAACCAGGTAGTCTTCATCTATAAACATGAATCAGTTCAATCGCCAATGGCTTCAAAAACTAGAGCCATGTTTTAGCTCGGCCGCCCTTAGCTTTTTTTCAAGCTACCTCAGGCCAGAAAACACTGCTCATCGAAGTAGGCAGTGGTTAGGTGTACTTAACACATGTCCCGATCACCTTAGTTGGTGGAGATTTACTACTTCATAAGTCAACTTCCCATCTTTACTTGGTACCATATTCCTAACTTCGATGGTCCTAAAACACACGAGCAATGCTTCGAAGACACCTATGATCGAATACTAGTAAACTACCGATATCCTCTGTTTTTAATGACTATGCTTCAAGGCAAGAAAGTGGGACGGAGAGGATTGCTACGCGACAAAAACGTCCTTTGGTTGGTAAACGGATATCTCGCCTCTAACACAAGTGACTCAGGTTGACTATTTCATGATGTACCAAAAATTACTACTTTGTTTGGGATGTTGTCAATCTTTTAAATATTTCTATATTAAATAAAAATAATATTTAGGATGTAAAGTGCGTATCTAAAGAGTTGTATTTACTGCTATTGTAACAACTATTGTAAGGCCAATCAATTTCTCATTATATCATTCTTTAAATTAGTGAATAAATTATTCAACTACTTAATCGACGAGAGGAATTCTTTACGTAACAGCTACATGGACACACATATTACTACAAGTGGGTTGCGTATGCAAATTACCGAAAGCATTTTCAATTTAGAAGCTGAGATGAGTCACTTTCTAGGAGGGATAACGTTAATATCCGGGGTAGCGACGTCACTTTATCAACAAGAGGAGCCCAAATACAGTTTCCACTGGCTCGTTTTAATCGGAAACCATTTTGATTTTCGTAATGTGTAATAAAGATTCTAGAATGTTGTTCATTAGTTGTGATCTGAATTCTAACTCCTTACACATAGCCTCTCTTTAGGAATGTACATCAACACAGAAGCGAACATTTCACTTGCAAATATTTTCAGAAAGTGAAAGGTATTTTTTAAGAATGTCCCCAGTGTCCTGGTATGATCGGGGTAAGGAAAGTCTGCTCCCCTTTCGGAATGCTCTCACGTGATCACGTGTATGCAGCCACTGTCAGGGAAGTCCTTCTCACTGACTTCTCGTGACGGGGGTGTTATTTACAAAATTGAGAGAACGAAAAGTGAATGTCCAGGGATTTAATCGGGTTGATGGATACGGAGGGTCCACTAGGGGAGTTAGAAAAACTTGATTCCAAACTAATGGTGCACATAGGCTCCATGATCCTGAAGGGAAAAAAATGGTATATGGACGTATTTTTGGCCGCCGGCTACCGTGGGACTGCATCTCCTAACACTGTTCCATTGCTTCGTGAATCAGACCTGCAGGTCAAAGGCTTGGAGAGTGGTCCTTTGAGAAAATCACCTGCTACCGTTTGTGCTCCCGAGTGGTATCCCAACCCTCACACAAATCGAATGAAGTGTGGTGCATCCCTGTACAAATGTATGTGTTTAAATAAATAAATAGATAAATCTTCTTCCAATGATGAACATAGAATGAGCACGACTGAGTTTTTGAGGCGCTTATTTAGGTTATCGTTGATTTACGGGTCTATTAGTTCCATCATGATTATTTATCTCCATGTCATAAAGTGAAGCATCCATCGCATTTAAATGTGATCATACCGCTTTGAAACCTTAAAATATCTTGAAAATTCATTTATGTTAAAATCTGTCGAATGTATTCATAAGAGGAGTTTTGAAGGTTATTTTTCTGCGTAGCCAGATAGTGAGTGTATCTCACTTTCCGAGACAGCATACGGAGCTTGATTGCAAAACTCATTTTCTACCATTTTAGTACGAAGTAGCATTTCCCAATGTATCTCACTTTTGATCACTCTCACATTTATATATAAATGACTTTGTGAGCCGTTTTTTCCACCCTAGCACTAGATACGTTCAAATCTGGCTCCCGATAACTGACACAAATAGCCTCAAACAGCTAAGTTATTTGAACACTGACACTACCAAAATAATGGTGGAAATAGTGAAAGTAAACCACTCCATTACGATTTAAAAACAACAGTTCTGCAAACCTCATACCTCGAAACATGGAATCCAGCTCAGGAAGGCGAAATAGTGCTGCACCTTTAACCAAATATTCGAAATAAGAATCGACTCCTGAACCAATAGTGGCATCGCGGGCTGTCCAACTTCCAGTGATAACATCAATATGGTTTCCCAGTAACCCAAGAGAAGATCTGTATTTCCACATAGCTTTAAGAGCACGCGTTGCAACAGCTTCGTACCTGGGATCTCCTAAATGGAAAATTTGTGTTGTATGAGGATACTTACCGAAAACAAGAAAAGTGACACTTAAAATTTTAGACTAAATTTTACAAGCACACAGTTCTCGATAAAAAGTACAACCAGAGGAAGAAATTTCCTGGTTTTTCAGCCGTAGAAATAAGATTGCTGGCTTGCTTTTGCTCAGAATGCAGAAGTATGGTAACTTGAGGTGAAAAAATGGGCCAAAGAAAATACAACTTGATTTTTGGGAAAGTTAAAAAAGCATATACTGGTAAAAGGGAAAGTACAGTGACGGAAAATCTGATTGAAAAGTCGGTCGGCGCATATTCTGTTTCATTGATTTACGTGAAGCAACCGACAACGGGGACTTGATATGCGGGTACATGAATGAAAATCCGCAAAATTTGAATCTTATTGGCACTCATGTGGAAAAAAACATAACATGGAAACAGTGTAGAAATCATACCAAGGAGTTGGTCATTTTAGATAAAAGCCTACTACATCGATAAAATGGATGTAGAGCGGTAGTCTAGTGATTTCGGAACTAGGGTCTTAACCATACAGATGCCAAGCGTTCGCATCAGGCGTTATATATAAGCATACGCAGTATTCATGAATGAACAGTGAGAGCTAAGCATAAGTATGCAAGTATATATGGGAAAATGTTAGACAAGAAGAAAAGAACAAATGTAGATTTCATGTACTGAAAGTGCAAATATGTCCAAAAATAACGAAATATAACATGAATCAAACACTACCTGTAAGGCGAGATAGTGCCCCAAACTCCAAAATAAATGTACCAATGCCAGCAACGCACGTGACTGTAGTCTCGCCTCTAGGAACGCCACCCAGTTCGAAGTTTACAGTACCGTATGGCATCCCGGTCGGGGTGTCGAAGGCAGGCAAAAGCTTAGAAGCAAACACTTCTGCTTGCCTAAGTAGTGGTCCAGAACACGGCCAAGATGGTTCTACTTCAAACCCGGCTCTGCGTGACAAAAGATGAGCCGAGATGAGCCCGCCGACAACTAAAGGGTATAAAATAGTCAGACTGAAATACCTCTGATGTTAGTTTCGAAAACGGAAGCGTTGACATTTTTTTCAGAATCTAAGTGATCAAGAAGAGCACGTGCAGCACGACGAAACTCAGTAACATTGTCCATTATAACAAGTGTATCAAGTGCATCTACTAGCGTCAGCGAGAAGCTCCCCCATGTATCATGCCCATCACATGAAAGCGGTCTTAACTCATCTAAGGGATATGCATACTTAAGGTAATTATCGTAAGCATGATAAAATATTTTTCTAACGCGGTCCCTTAATGATATGAACAAACTGAAAATGGGAATTACTTGAGGTTTTCCATATTACGTGCGAAACCAACTTCACTGTGAGTAACTGCTAACAGTAGGATCACAACACTAATCCGAAACATTCTGAAGATAAAAGAAGGAAAAAGCAACTGTGAACCCCTTAGACACCTCTTCTCGATTTCACTGACCAATCAACTATTAACCTTGAGATTGAAAAAGATGACACACTAAATTCAATACCTGTTGGTTAGTCAATAAACTTTCTAATTATACTAGGTTGAACCGTTAGTACTTTTGGTCGTGTATTCAAATTCAAGAATATCATCGTTAGTATTTTGAAATTATGTAATCTGTTCTCACGCGTTGGACATTTGTAAAGGACATAACAGTTATTTATAATCATCGGAACACTTGATAAAAGACGCTCAAACTAATTTTCCACGATACTTTAAGAGCCAAAAAGTTTTTTATATCTCAATTACAAAGTAATTATTCTTTCGACTCTAGGATCTGCAGTAATAAACGATGTTTGTCTGGCCCATTTGGGAACGGAGTAAGTGACGTCGTTTGCTCATCAGAGTTATTACTGGTCTGATACTAATGCTGATAATAATAGGTAAGCCGTCATGAAATAAACCTTGTTGGATTCCTTGATTTAAATTTGATGAGTCGTGACAGCTTATGCACACCGAGTTTTGTGTGGCATGTGCGAGTAGTTGACAGACTTATTCGGCAATTATTAACATTTTCTAGCAGCTAATACTAGTTTTCAAGGTCGTGTATGCTGTTTTCGCACCTTAATAGACCAATTTACTCATTCTCTACCGACCACATTCCAAACTTATCGCTTATTGGTTTATTAACCCTGATTGTTTTTATATGATCGTATGTGATAATAGCTCGCCCTGTTCATTGTGTGTCTGTAATTTATCTTTGATCTGGCTGTAAATATTGATTAGTGTTTGATTAAACTGAGTTGGCTTGCTCGCCTTCTCCATTGGGCGTCACTTCGTTTCGTTTCCTTCGCCTTGTTTCTCTGATTGTCTGTTCAAATCAATGAGTGCAGGAAATATAGGTATTCAAAATCTATTCTCATATTAGTCGTATATAATTCCAATAATCATTAACTTAATAAAAATGCACGAGGATAGCTGGGATGTATATTTCAATAACAATCAGCAAGCGATCTAACTGGAGTCAGATAAAGGGTCTACTAAAGGCATTTTAAACTCGTACTGTACTTTAATTACTATTAATTCATGTTCCAAACGTACAAAAATAGTACATACGAGCAGTCTTAGCGGACACCCTACACGAAAAGCTATGAGGAGGACGTTTAGTCGTGAGAACATACCAAAAAGGTCGATGGCTGATAATAGGATCAATTTCGCGGAAAAAATTTAACAGCTAGGTTGTGATATTGGATACCGTAATCTAGTTACAGCTCCACAACTACCTCAGTTTAGTGGATTAGCAGAGAAGTTCATTCGACTTTTAAAGCGTGCTATTACATCAGTGAATGAAAGTAATCTTGTGAAGCTACAAAATGCAACGATAACTTTTTGCTTCAATATCGAACATTCAAGAACTCACAACAGTTCAGCTTATTTCTTAGATCTCGGACATTTTGAACGCATTTAAAGAACAAAATACTATGACAATAACAGTTTCGCCGAGTAAATGATGGTTGACGATTTACGGCGATTATGGTTTGGAGGATAGGTATTTGGATGAAAAAGATTCTTGATCTGAATTATTATTCAATTCACAACAGATACATGTGTAGCAGTGAGTTAATCCATCAAGCAAATAGTCCCGTGAGTCTTCGACTTTGATGCTGACCTAATTAGTTTTGCTGGACACACCCTTGTTGAAGGCTAGGGTGTACATAAACTTCTACATAGGACTCGTGTAACTTAACTTTACTCAAGATTTAGCCATATTTTGTTCTTGCATGATGCTGATCATTACCAATTAGGCCTTAGTAGGCTGAATATTAGGTGACAGCATTTTTTTTTGTTTTCTGCCGGAAACAGTTATTATTCCACCGATTGCTTGCAGACAAATTTAATCTTACTTTTTTGGCAAAACTTTTGCTGATTTTCAGGTAATAAGTGGTTATATTTGCTAACTATTTTTCTCTGTACGTTTTCTCTAGTAAGATAGCTGCTATTAGAAAAACATTTGGATGTATGGTAGAAGCAGTACTGCATCTTTCGGTATACTTTTTTTTCACACAAGTACCGCCTAATTTAGGCACGGTATCTTTGTTTTAGTAAAGCTGTTTAAAACAATTGAGTTAAAGAAGTCTCGTTCATCTTTAAAAGGAAATTCGTTCGTCATAATCAATTAAACTATGGTGTGCTGATTGCCTAATTTATCGAACATCTTGCTGAAATCTTGTAAGCTTGTTTCAACATACCGCTATCAAATATTAATGTCCGATTTGTGCAGAAGATCAGATGTTTAGTATTAAATAATCCATTTAATCATAAGACCAGATCGATGGGTATGATGAAATGTATCCGTATATTTTTCAAAGAACTTTAGTAGCAAAACAGTGATAAGTCCTTCTGTATTTGAAAACTTCAACAATTTTGTCATTTTATCAACTAGAATTGTCATTATGTTTGTCATTCAATCATGTCTGGACATTCTCTAATGTGACTGCAGGGAATCCAATCTGAGCCCATTGACTTGTTTAGAATAAAACTACTTGATTCAAAGATTTTAAAATTTCGTAAAGGTTACTGTCTAGAATTGGCAGTTTGCCGGCCCGGAATCTGACTCCAAGTAGACCGTATGAATGATTGTTATTGAAATATATATGTCGCCTATGTAATCATCGACATAAATTGCGTTAGTCAATAACAGAATTAAATACCTCAAATAACGATAATGGACTTTTGAATACATATGTTTTGTATGTGAAGCGAATGGAATAGAGCGAAGCGAAATAAAGCGCAATGGAGAAGGTATGTGAGCCAACTCCATTTAATCAAGCGTTAATCAATATTTATTGTCATACAAAAATATATTACAGACATGTGATGAAGGGGATAGGAAGGGCACATTCATATTCGCCCATATAAAAACTCAAGGTTGATAAGTGAATAATTAACAAAGCCAAATATGACTCAACTAGAATGAATGGATTGGCATAATCGAAAGCTAGAATAAAATATATGGGCTTAACATGCAAACCGACACTACAGTAGCAACCTGAGGTGTCGGCAATAAAATCAGGATCACGTAATCAGTAGGTAATCAACCTTAGTATTGTTGTGACGGACGGTGTCTAAAATCTGATACAGATACGCACTGTATTACACACTAACCCCTTTACAACCGACTATTGGAGCGAGGAAGTGCATTGAGAAACCATATGAAATGCACAAGCAATCATTTATACATGTACATACCACTTTAATCTTTACAAAATTGATCCGTTTACTAGCCAATGAAGTGCACTTGTCCTTTAGGCCACTTCTGATTGCCATTGTTGTTAAGCTACATCTGATTGGCTCTACATATTAGTTATATATGTTCTCTCTAAGAAGACAGTTGAAATACGTGAGATGGATGGCATTTATTTATCTACAAGAAAGCGTTCAGTTTCGTCACCCCGTGCTTCTGAGTTTAATTAGACTTTGAGTAGTGTGCCGTTGGCTCAGTGAGTAGTAACACTGTAAGAAACTTAAAAGTAGGTAGTGGGAACGTGTATGCCTAACGATCGTAAAGACAAAGTCACTCCTTACAAATTAAGTTCATGTATCATTGTTTCTGTAGCCATAGTTACTACCCTAAAATTGCAGTTGTTTAGTGACATCTAACATAGTCACATTGTTATTATTTTTAGAGCGAAATGTTTAAGACAGAACGCTTAGGCGTAGAAATATTAAGAAGTGAACATGATCTTCATGAGCGGCTGGATCCAAAACGAATAATTTAGTACAAAATTTATAAGATCATAGTCGGAATCAGGATATCGCTGCCAATAGACTGTATGTTCCGACTACGTAATCCTAATAACTTTATGATCTAATCAACCTTATGATTCGACATAAGGTTCTTGCTAACATCCATTATCAAAGTATGGATAGTTGACAATCGAATATTCTCTGAGCTGGGCTTCTTAGTACAATAATAAGTATTTTGATGAGAAGTAAATCAGTACACTGATGGGGAACTTGGCATATTGGAAGCAATTAGTATTTCAATTTACATTAAAGATATTGAATGAACTCTAAATTTGAATCTATTAAAAATACAATAGTTACGAATGTTAACTGAGACGGCTATTAGGAATCTGCATAAAATAGTAAGTGGATAAAGTTTGATTGTGTTACCTAAATACAAGTATATTCGACTTTCAATACAAAAAATATGCGCAGTATGAGGCTTCAAATAAGGAAAGGATTTCAGAAAACAACCATTAGGTCGATGCAGAATACATTCATTAAAGCGATAATAAACTGAACCATACGATAGGTTGTTTGCATTTGGGGAAATACAAAACCTCAGATTTATTCAGAACGTATTCTGGTAGATATGAATTATTCAGTTCTTGAAATAGGAAACAATTGTTAACATATATATCGAACTATAATAATCCAGGTAAATTTGTACCAAGTATTTATCAGTTATTACAAACATCGCATAAACTTAGTTAACTTACAATGTTTTTTTATTTTTGTTAGTACTTCCGTGCAAGTAAAACTATGTTTACTTTAAACAATATTGGGAGTGAAACCCGTTTCATCCTAAATACATACAAATGGGTACTTTATTAGTTTTAAAGGTTCTCTAACATTTTAACCGTTTACTAAGCCATAAGCAATTTTCATACCCGGAATAACTATAAATGATAGATTGAAACGTAAGTTGTCTTATGTATCATTACAATGATTAAAAAGTGTGTGAAAAAAATTTCATCATGAATTGAAATTTTAAAGACGAAAAATGTATTTGTAAAATCTCAGCGAAAGAATTCTGAAGTAAATCCAACGTTTCGCCTGGCAATCTGGTCCAAGCTTTTTCAAGGAAAATATAATCAAACAATAAAACTATCGAATATAAATAGGTACATGGTTCTCTGGTTTTACTGTATGCTAAATACGTC